TATATATATAAAAAGGTATGACTAAGACACAAGGGATTTGAAAACAAGAGCTAGAAAAGGTCTGTTATGAGAAGGCTTTTCTTCAAATAGTTTTTTAGGGCTTCTCAAGATCAAATTTCAAAGGTTTTGAAAGGTTTTCATTTCCACCATCCTTTAGGGAAACTGGCTTTATTAATAACAGTCAGACACTGTAATCAAGCAGAAACCTTTAGCTCTGTTTAAATACTGTCTAAACGTGCAAGTACAAAAAGTGGAGAAACAGAGTTTGCCTGTCACTACATGTGGCTCTCACTACTTCTTGCACATCACTGACAATGGAGATTAATGCAGTCAGTGTCAACCTAGCCAATAATTTCACTTTGAAGGACTGGTATAGCATTTGAGTTGCAAACACTGGAGCAAATTTGTTTAGAAATAATTATTTTAATGGATTTGTTTTTAAAGCATGAAAATATTTTTACAAGACAGAGTTAATAAACACTTATTACAGTATTTAAATTGGGCCTAATTTAATTTGATATTGTTCTCTTAATTTAAACAATTACATCTAGCTGTAACTCCTCAAATCTGGACTAAATAATTAATGATTATCTCTGCTGGTGAACATATCCTTCATATAAATGTGGCCAATTAGAATATACCCACTTAGTCATTGTCAAACCCTGCAGAGATGCAGAAGGTACAGCACATGCTGGGAACCACTGCGTCAGTAATAAAGACAAGGGCAGCTGCAAAATGTTCCAATTTATGCAAATTAAAACATTTTCATGGAAAATAAATAAGCTTGATTAATTTTACTGAATGGTTCTTGACAGATTATCTCCCTAACTCTGAATTAGCAGCCTTTTCATCAGGTGCACCTTGTTGTTATACGGTGATTGGGAAAGGAAGAGCTGCAGCTATGCGCTGGGGTTTGCTGTCCGGCCACTGATCGAGTCCTATAGACTGGTGACCACAAAGCAGGCTGCACCTGTGCCTGCCATCAGATGTGCCACCAGGAGTGGAAGTAAGGGGCGTGGGGGTGTGGAAGAATCAGAGCTGTATGGTTCATCTGCCATCTGGGGTCCCTGAGTGTTTCTGTAAGAGGTCAGGCCATGGGTACATTCAGGAAGATGCCGAAAGCCAGCTTGGTTAGCGTGGCGCAAACCAATGCCATCGCCTGCCTTCCTCTGGCTGCTTCCCCCACTGACCCCTGTTGCACGACTTCTCAGGGTGATTTGATTTTCCCTGCTTACATCTGTTTTAAAGCTGCAACAGGCTGGCTGCTCCTATATAAAGCAGATGCAGTGAAGCTGAAGATGAGACTCCTTTAGTGGTAAATATAAGTGAAAACATGAACTGTGCTGTCGAGTGAGCTCACATGTGCTGTACTCCTTTTTGATTCAGCATCTGGTCTTACTTGCTTTGATTTAATTCTGATAGTTTTCTGGAGGCATTTGTTTCCATGGAAACTTTTGAATAAAAGTTTCCTTCTCTCTTTTTGTTTTCAGATTATGTTTGGAGGGCCATAGCCACAGCCCAGCTACACTGGGATATTCTTTGTCCCCCTTTCCACAGGGCGTGAAGAACCTAAGAAACGCTTTGGACTGAATCTGTGAGCCTCCTTTTGAATCAGGCTAAATTCAACAGTCACTCTAGTTTATCTTGGGCAGGCACTGTGTTTGGCACGGCAAAACAGAGACGGTAGCATGCATGGAAGTTTTAAGTGCATCTTAACTAGTAAGAAAATCACTGCCCCATTCCTACAAGCAAAACAAGTTCAATGGATTGTTCCTAATAAAAAACCCACTGGCCTGAAACCTGATATAGCTCTGATGACTACTTTTTGCTTGGTGACATCCTTACGTCCTAATTCTTAGGAAGTAGGATGGTAGAACTGAAGAGAAATGATTTTTGAATCAATTTCTCTTTCAGATCTTGTTAAAACTATCACTACCAAAACCAGATAGCCCATAATGAAATTGTTCATTTATAAGAACGCACCTTTGACCAGTGTAATTGTCAAGCAAGGTGTGTAACTACAAAGGCAGAGCTTTCTGTTCAGCATTGCTTTTACCTGATTATCCAGGGAATTCCAGAAATTGTTCATTTAGACTGATGTTAGTCTTTATAACTTTTTACCATTGATATTATTTAAAAATGAAAACAAAAGCCACAACTTACCTCATCATAGTATTTGTTAGTATACTGGTAAAGTTGGTGTAGAGCCACAAGCGTATTTAAGGAATCGGTATGTGCCTGTTAAACAACACAAGTGAGCAGCAAACATGTCAAAATATGATGACAGACAGCTGAAAGTTATGTGCTTGCATGACTGCTGGATACAATATACAAGATTTCCAAATGCAAGGTCTGCATCCTGTAATTTTTGTTAAATGGTAGTTGGGGCAGAAAAAATGGGTGAGAAAACTTTTGTTTGGTGATTTTTAGATCAAGACTTTCCTGCTGGTGTTTTTCCAGCCTGTCCACAACTCTAACACTGGAGGTGGAAAATATTTTGAACTCTGAATGTCAAACCACAGACTATAGCTCAAACATCTGTTAACAACATGGGTATGTATAGCTGAAGGATTTACTCAGTACAATCCACGTATTGTTGAGATACTAAGCACTGGTTCTGTCACTGTCATGGCTGTTTGACATCCTTTCTCCAGCTCTTTTTAACTCTTTGAAATTATGCACACCTCACTACAGTAAAGGTGTAACTCATCAAGATCACAAGCACATTTGGAAAAAGCCGTCTGAATCACAGAGATGGGAAGGGGAGAGGGAGACAGAGAGAAAAAGGACTTTAAATGAAGCAGGAAATAACCCTTCTTTTACCTCTTCCTCCTGCACCTCTGACATTTAACTTACTTAGTGAATATGCTCTACCTGTCTGAACAGATGTTTTTCATTCAAAACGTATAGGATTCATATCTGTAGCCATGCCTTTAGTCTTTTAAGTTAGTTAAGAAAATTAAGAATTGCAAAATATTGCTACTGGCATAAAGGGTTACCCAAAACATAAAGCAGCAGGGAAACATCCATCTTTTCTTGCTCTATAAAAGTCACTTCTAGAGCTGGTCAAAATTTGCAATGTTGGATCAGTCCTTCCATATTCACTTTTACCATAATTTAAAATGTAAACAGAAAGGAGCAACATATTCTGACGATGTTAAAACGTTCTAGTGAATTTACTTTTAATCACCAAACATTTCAATTTTATACACATCTCAATTTGTATAATAAATAAAGTGAACTGGAAAATGAAATGTCACTGTGGATGAGTTTTGTAGTGAATGACTGAAAATAGAAAAGCTCTCATGAGGATGTTGATCTGCAAAATGTTAGGTCCTAAGGGCATTGAAATAAACAAACCACAGAAAATTCCCCAAACATCCTCCTTACGCTAGAACTCTTCAACTAAATTAAGCAAATGAGCAAACCAGCCAGTAAACACACTGTCTCTTTGCTCAGGCTAAACAACATCTTTTAAGCCTGGTGAGGGCCTTTCCTAGTTCTCCCAAGTTAAATCCAGTGTTTTGAAGGCATGAGCCTGCCCTAGCTAAGCTGAGCTGCAGAGCAGACAGGCTCTTTCAAGACTGAAGCAGGTTTTGTTGTGTCTCTGCTCCATCAATCTCCAGCCAGAGTCTCCAGCTAGCAACCACCCCCTGCCCTGCTCTTCGCCATGAGAGGTAACTCCCAATAACCTATAATGCAAAAAGAAAAAGTGCCTCTGAGTGACCATGTGGTGAGCTTCTCACATGGAGTACAAAGCAGCAGTATAGCCCTTGTATAGACAGCTCTAAAATAGACTACACTTAACATACGTATGTGCCTCCCCTTTCATTTCTGCAATCTAATTTTTGCTGTGGCAGCATTCTGAATACAGTCATTACTCGTTATCAGTGTGATCAATGCTCAAAATCCTTTATATGCTGTGGAGAAAAAACACCATTCAAGAATGCTATCATTTTTCCATAATGGATGTGAAAAAGTCTGAACACTTTGCTCTGGTACCTACATCACTCAGATAGATGAGTGATGATAACTGTTCTTGGTGCCATTCAATAATCAACATTTCAAAGGGCTAAAAGGCACAACTGCACTAAGCAGGAGTATTTCAGAGGTGTATGAGATAACTCACTTGATATTTGCACATAAAAAACCCCACTTGTTGAGCTAGAAAGAGAAGACAAACAGTGCTATACTGGGCTCCAGTTTCAGGACAAGAATCACACAGAATTTGTTCTTACCCTAGAAATCTCTGCTAGATGGGTATTCATGTCTTGGTCACTAACTGGCACCATTTGACGAATACCTTTGTAGTAACTGCAACAAATGAAAATAAACATTCCATTAGGTGACATACACTCAGCTTTTCTGGTAATTCTGTATTTTGATATTGCAATTATTTTAAACATGCTTCCTAATAATGCAAGAGATGCTCTACCACAACAGACCAAGGACTCCTTTAGTAATCCTGACACCCAGCAGTCATTAGTGCTTGATATCTTTGCAACAGAAGCAAATTCCACCTGATTGTAAGGGCTAAACCACAGGAAAGAAATCTATAATTGCAGCTGATGATTATTTTAGGCCTTCAAACTTTTGAAGTCATCAGCTAGCACGAGTTTTGTCCTGTGGCAGACCTTCTGCAGTATTCATAAAATTGCCAATTAGTAAATGAATAAAGTCAGAGATGGAATAGGAAAAAAAAAAATGTTTGTAAAAATGTTTTCAGGATTTGAGTTATGGAAGCACAGAGTTGGTTACACAGATCGTATGGGTAGCACCAACCACCGCAGAAAACAGCATCGTATTTTCTCCTGAATAAATCTATCCATCTGTCTGCAGAGACATGATCATGCACTGGGTCACAACAGCACTCCATTTCAACCCTGACAATGCCGCTACCAAAGGAACATTTTAACATCCATGTGTAAAATTTTTAACATCTGACAGTTGACTTTGACTACCTCAGTATTTCCTTTTCCTCTTACACAGGCTTAAAGCCCGAACAACTCTGAATAAGCATGAAAAGAGTCTGTACTTACTCTTCCACCATTTTCTTGTAGTTAGAGATTTCTTTTGCATAAAGTAATTTGTTACTCGGAGAATCCTGAAAAAAATATAATACAGAGAAACTTGGTTGATTTATGAACATCTCAAGGAAGCAAAATAAAGACAGGAACTTAAGATCAAGCCTTTATATTCACATGCACTTGAGCTTTACAGACATTAACATTTGGATGCTTATTAACATTGGTGGGACTATTTGTCCTAAAAGGACGAAGTTTACACATGGCATTACTGCTGAGTTTTACAAAAGTATCGATGTAAGATGATACTAAATTATTGGTGGACATGAAACAATCGGTTCTTAAACTCGCTTTTTACAAAAGCAGTGGCTATTTTCTCCTTTTTATAAATATCAGTTAGCAGATTACACAGTAACACTGACATGTTCACCAACGTGTTAAATGGTAAAATGTTAACTTCATTATAAAACTAAAAAGAAGCTATCAAGGCTGTATCTCCTCAGAGAATGGGTATTGTCTATGAGGATGCCCTTGTCAGGCATGAGTGTAGTCAGGATGTAGAATGCAAATCACTTACTCTGCTTAATTTGTGCTCTGTTCTTGTGCAAGCATCCATGAAAGTCTGTGCAATGACTGACAAGGAAGCATCCACTACTTCGTGAACATGAACATCAAAGATGAAATGGGGATTTTTCAGTATGTTTACCCAGAATCTAAGAGGCAGGCTGCAAAGCAAGGAAAAAGATAAATAATCCTTTTTACACAATAAATGTTCTACAACAGGCAAATCAGATGAAATTAAGTACGGGTGATCTCCTCACAACAGTGAAGCTTAATTTTATATTTCAGCATTTATATAAGCTATCTGTTAGTCTGGTTTCCATGTCTGAAAACCAAGCCTTTACATCTCTCACAGAAAAACTCACATGAGAAGAATCTCGAGTGCCCCAAAATAGCAAGAGAAGATGTCTTCTCTTGCTATTTTGTCATGGTTAGAGAAACTACCTGAGCAGTATTTGATTAGATTTTGTGCTTTGACAGGTAAATCTAGTCCCATTTGCCTCTCGCTTTCCTCTTCTCTGAGGAAAGACAAAAAGTAAAGTGGTAAATCTGCCAATGATGATCCATAGGTAGGGTGGTTTCATTTTTGCAGCTTCTAGGCTTACAGGGAATCCTTTTGATCATACAAACATATTATCTCAGGTAAAATGATTCTGAGAGTTACAAATGAAATTTACTTTGATTTGTGGGAAGCGTGCCAGTACATACCTGGGCATTACACTCTCATTTCTCTGCAATACAAGTATTACTCTGTTCATACTGTACCTGTTTGTTTTCCAGATGTGAATGGTATCTTCATCCTTGATGTCATGTTTTTCTGCTTGCTCATCAAGAAAGTCAAAGAAGTATTTCACAGCTGGTGGCACCACATGGTTCGAGTTGAGCACGCTATGAAAGAAGTTATCTACAAACTGCTGAAGAGTCCCCTAAAAGCAAATTTTAAAAGATCGATTACATTTGTGTTACAGGCTCAACTCTGTGCCATCCTGGAGTCTTTTATTCTTATTAACACTAACAGCCCATAATCCAGTTGCAGTCATTGTTTGCCTTCTCCCTGAGTGCTAAGGTACTGGGTGGCAAAAAACAAGCGGCTTCTTAGTGCAGTGACCTTGCACTTGTAAAGACCTTCTAGAGAACAATTTTATGTTCTAGCCTGAAAGGTTGCAACTTCACCAACTCTTCTACAGTTTGGACAGAAAGGTGTGCTTTCTCCTTGACAGGAGAAGCAGAAACTGGTTGCTAAGTATACAATACATTTACGCTTCAGGGTCCTTGTGCACATAAAATAAGTGTTAGCCATTTTAAAATGGTTTTCCAGCTTCCCACCTCCAGTTTCTCTTACTCCAGAGCACCGCGCAATTTTTAGAAAGAAACTGAGAGGAAAAAGTACCAATGAGCATTTAACTTTTTGTTCAAGGGCAAGCACTTGGGTCTCATCAGACACCCAGTCTGGCACAGTTCCAGCTCCATCAAGCCCAGGGAGTGAAGTGCCCCAGGAGGGCTGTGTGTGTGGTAGGATTCCTGCATCTCCCTGGACTGTGACCCAGAGACTGTCCCTTGTTTTAGGGATAACCCTGTTGAGGCCACATGCGGTTGATCCCTGCTCAGCTGGTTGGCCTTACAGACACGTTTGAAGGGCTGCATCCTCTCGCTGTCACTCCAGCTGGCAGACCCAGAACAGGGCAGGGACTGAAAAGGCAAGCAGTGCCTGAAAGTGGCCCTAAGCCACTCTGCTGTCAGCAAGGACATATCAACAGTCCCAGCAACCACACTTCACCAGCTCTGTATGAGTTAGTAAAGCTCCAAACTGGCAATAACCTATAAACTGGCTATTGGGAATAGAAAAGGGGTGGCTGCATCTTCCTGGCTCTTTGTCCTGGGTCGATGTCATCTATACACAGAGTTTTCTTCACAGCCATTTTCACACTTGGACAAATGGCCTTAGCTGGAAGCCAACCACCTCCATTTTCACGAGGAGCCTGGTTTTAGGGTCATTAAACACATTATCCTAAATTCTTTCTGCAAGGAGGAATGCTTCACAAAATTATTTTCGTTGTGATCCATTCTGCAGTATAAGCACTAAAAATGCTCTAAAAGGACCATTATTATTTGAAAACATTTTTATTATTTTTCTAGATTATACTGCAGCATGGGTCACAAACAAAAACAGGGAAATATAAGGCTCTGTAGCAGTTTATAAGGCATTTGGTTCATAAAAAACCACAACAAAATATTATCTAAACACAGATATTCTGTGGCACAGAGGAGAATATCCATCTTTGTCGTTCAAGAAAAATCCTTATTTAATGAACACATAATCATGGTTCTCAGATTTGATTGGGAGTTATACTTTATCTCTTTCCCAGTAATGTTCCTCAGGGCATATTAATCACTTGAAGCCCTGAACACCAGCTTGCATATGCATGTCACATCTTCAAAATTGCAGCCAAACATATGACTAATAGTTGCATCATTTTCTCCAGTTGTACCTCTAAATCTATAGATGTTAGGTGTAACCGTGGCACAGCTGAGCCTTACCTTCACAGAGAGAAGTCTGGTCAGGTAGATTTCTGTAATTGCTTTGGTCCTCTCTTTTTCTTTCACGCTGCCCCTCTTCGATTTGCCTTCATCTATTTCATCTACTGGCCGGACTAGATGCCAGACCTTATTTTCCTCTTCCAGGAGTGCATGCCCTAGAAACAATAATTGCAATAAATGCAAAAAATGCCTCACGCCCAAATCAGCAACATGAAAATAATCATATGCCTAAGTATACAGGTAGATCCTTGTTCTCTGTCCTTAACTTACCTTTTCTCTTGCCAAAAGGATCTAGATTACTTGGTTCCTGTCCAACATGTACAACTCAAGTACTAGATGTTCAATAATACATAAGCTGAAAAAGCAGCATTGAAGTAGGATTGCAGCTTGCTTTTGTCAAGAGCAAAGGGAGAGGAAAGAATCACACAATAAGGAAACTCCTGTTTGGTCACATAAGCACAGTATGTGTATGTTTTTGAGGTCCACACCTGTAAAATACTCTGCCTCTTTGTGAATTCTCAGAGACGTGATCAAATTACAAAAATTCCGCTAGGTCTGACCCAACAGCCACCTGGAAAGGGCAATCATAGCCCGCTCCAGGGACAAGGCATGGTATTGTTGTAGCAGCTCTGGTGAATTTAAGAATTTATGATATCAACCTTTTTTCTTGGTATCATCATTACAATTTACATTTTTACCCTAACTGCTGAATTCAAAGTATGGTACCTCAGTTCAGATCTGCCTTTATCACCACTTGACTATGTAGGTGAAAGGAAGAAAAATGCATCCTTTTGCTGAGAGGGTCTGAACTCCAGCAGACAGAGGTAATAACTGCAGAAAACTCAATATGTTATAATATGATTTTAAAAAAAATTCTTTGTCAGTATTCATACCTTAAATCAAAGAGAGAGAGACTCACATCATGTCTGTTACCATATAGCAGAAACAGGAGTAAGCTCCTGGATGCTTTTGATGGCTCATCTGGTTACAGCACCTTGCTATGCTATATCCATGGCTTGGTCATGCAGCTGGTCCCTAAGCTTAGTTCAATGATTACACAATGGAATATTTTTTATTTAAAAATAAAATTGCACTGACTGCATTTCAGCATCAACATGAATGTTCAGACAAACTGTGCTTGAGAATCTTTTGTTCTGAACAGCTCTCAAAGAGATGATACAATTGTTTTAACTGGCAATTAATAACCCCTGAAAAAAGATTCTGTGTCACAAAGTGAGTTTCAGACCTCCTGGTTTTGCTTGTTCTTCCTTTGATTTTTGAATTTTTATATCTACTTGGCATAGTCCCTAAAATCAATGGTGCTTTTCCAGTGGAAGTTACTGAATCAGTCCATTTAAAATAACTGACATCTTTAAAATGTGAAAGCTATTTTCCTCATAAAAATTGTGATTCAGCCCTATTGCACAAATTATTTTGCATTACTGCTAAGTTTTATGCTTTAATATATGCACCTAATGCATGATGACTATGATATATGAATCCCAGTTACAGCAGAAAATATGTTTCTGATTCCATGAATTTTGTCCTTTTAAATTTTTGGCCACATTTATTTTATTCACTAAGTTCTTGAACAGCTACATAAAATTTACCAGCTTCCCTGTATGTTCACTATTCCACATCACAGGGGAAAATAGTTTATATGTAATGTGCCCAAAACAACACTTCTGCTTGAATCGACTTTATAAATCCTCACGAAAAGCATCACCTCTGCAGTCTTCTGAGGCCTTCACTTCTTTTTAACCAGGTAGGGAAAAAAAAAAAAATCTCACATTAAATGACATTGTCCTTTGAAGAGTCCTTAATTTGATTTGGAAGTTCATGTGAATGAAGCAAGAAAGAAATAAAAGCTATCTCTTTGTTTTCAAGCAGCTGCAATTTCGCAATCGATACCATTCATAGCAATCATCCACCAGTACAGTAAGAACCGCTGGTGGCCTGACGTCTGGAATTTCTTTTGCAATGCCTGTTATTTACTTTTGTAAATTAACAGATCAAATCACACAGAGCAGAAACTATTTTCCAGCCTTATGTCAGTTGCTTGGCACGCTTCTGCTTCCTCCTTTGATTCAAAGGAATTTATCCTCTCTGTGCCCTCCTGATGGTATATGGCCCAGTTTAACTTTGGAGTGAAGAGAAACAACCAAAGGGGTTTCCACTGGGATTCCTGGCCCTTATGTGCAGCTTAATTTGGCTCGTGTTTGTTTAGCAACAACAGAATTGGCTACCAGTGAAGAAGTAGTTATTTCATTGGAAAGTAGGGATTAAGAGACTACAGCACAACCAGATGAACTTTTGCAATACAAAGATCCCACTCAATTGCTAAAAATAGCAGGAAGAAAGAGGAAGAGAAATTCAGAATGTGGGGCAACAAAACATGTTAGCAGTACAGTTGCTAAGAGAAAATAACATTTCTGTGAGATAATATTTTCCCCTATGGAAAAGTAGGAGGTTAAGAAAACAAGAAAACAAAACATAGGGGAAAACCCCTCTTTTGTTATTGCAGTAGCCACATTATGCATCAAGCCGTAAGCAGGGAGAAGACTGCACCCACTGGGTCAAATGCTTCTTCCCCCTTGAACATTCTTTGGTCAATATAAAATAGTGCTGGGGGGGGAGATGTTAATGCTAAATATTGACTAATTATAGTGGTATGAAACATGATGTAAACATGATGGGGGCCAGTGAGCTGGTGACAGGCAACGCAGCCCCTTTCCCCTTGTAGCCCCTTTCCCCGTGCATGGCCTGCAGCAAATTACCTTCCTTCCAGTCTCCTCCCTGCTGTGAATACAGGCTCCATGGAGGTGAAGGAAGGGCTGCCCTACACCAATCTGCTAATCAGTATTTCTGATCTGCAACCCTCTGGCTATTTTTATTCAGAATTAAAAAAGAAAAACAAACCCAACCAGAATAACAGCGTGTGTTGTTTTGGCTTATAGTTCAGTACAGAAATACTAGCGTTAAATCATTGAAACCATTCTCCACCTTGATACAAATTAGTAATTGCATTTATTATCTCCAGAAGCAAAAGATGCTGCTTTTAATTTGTCACAACCTCCAGCTTCTAGTGTCTTCCTGTTAGAAGCTGTGAATGAAAGCAGCATGGAAGTAATGCCAGGTTTTAGAGCAACATCTCTGAACATGGTTTTACATTTTCGTTCTGTGCAAAGCCTAGTACTTTGGCAGACAGTCAATGGCTTCAGCTGACACTTCTCAATGCAAAAGGTGCAAGTTAATGAGAAACTCTGGATGAAAGGAAAACCACTTCGTCACAAGCCTCATTCAAGAGCTGTGATAGGATTTGTATTTATTCCAGCCCTGTAAATCCCTGTGTCATATAAATGTGTATGTGGGAGGGGAAGCCTCTGATCCTCTCCTCTCCCTTTTACACAAATAGCATCTCACAAATCACTGTCACTGTGGGCTCTCACTTTGCACTGGCTTTTTAACATTTTATAGCTTACCAAAAGAACAAGTTGGCACCGGGTAGCTCTGAAGACCCTTTGGCAGTAAATGGGCTAGCCTGCCATGAAATGCTATCTTCCCAAATTTGTACACTACCATGGTGCAAGACAGAGTGTGGAGAAGAAACGTGTTGGAAATTGTCTTCATTCTATACTTTGGGATCTGAACTCTCTTTGCTGATTTTTCTCTTATGTACAAGACATTGTCCCCAGAAGTGTCCTTTTCCTTTACAATGAAGTATGCCACACATATAACTAAGGAGTTCACCTCAGAGCACCAACCATGTATGTTTGGAAAAGCTTCATCATACTGAATCACAGCTAAAGATAATAAATAATATATAAATATAATCGTAGAAAAGGAGCAAAGAAAAAAAAAAAGAAAACTCCAACAGAAAAACACGGTCTGGTCCTCTACTGCCTGCCGGCAAGGCGGGGAGGATGAAGACTGGGAGCCCAGAACAGGAGACTGAACACTGCTCTGTGTCAAGAAAGCAAAGCAAGTTAAGGACAGCACCAGGTCCATTCATGGTCCGCTCCACTTTAGAGTGGAGGTGACTACTGCCTCAGCAGTTATCTCAGTAATTGGTGCAACCAAACTGAGCAGGGACTAGGAATCAGCTCTTTGCCTGGCTGCACTTCACTGCCCTCTCTGTTAAACTGAATGGCTTTTCGGGTTAACACGCCGGGTTGGCATCTGCTGTGACAGAATAGTCACCACTCAGCCAACTATGGCAGGCACTGGCAGTAAAGGAGTGAGAGGACAGCAACAGAGGTGTAGCCACGACCATTAGAAGATGGTTCAAAGATGCTAGAAAAAGTCTCAACAGAAAGCATCCAGGAGGAGAGAGTAAAAAGTAAATGGCAAGTAATCCTGTCTGTAATTTCCTGGCCAGTACTCAAAACAAATGAAATGGAAGTCTGCACATTTTTGTTAAATAGTGATACATATCAGAGCTATCAGCTGAGAGCCATCTTTTTGAAGAATGTACATTTCTGACGTACTATTTCCAATCTGTTTGACTGCCCAGCCCTTGAAACCTATTAAATCTAAGATCAGTAAATCTGTTTTAAAGGAATGAAACTATTAGGTGAAGCAATGGCTTTTGCAATCAGTGCTAGACAGAAAAGCGTATCAAGTGAGTTCACAGAAGGAAGAATGATCTCAACAATTATTGTTCCATAAATCTAACTTCTACTTCATGTAAAATAACTGAATATAAGAATTAAAAAAAAAGAGAGAAACTGAACATCTGAAATGCAAAGGAAACATATGTGACAAAGAATATAAATTTACAAGTAAATATTTCCATAAAAAATTGAATGTATTTTAGGCTATAATGGATATTGTGTCTCAAGAGCCTTTGAAACAAAGGAAGTTGGTCTAGACAGAATACTAACATGTAGAAGGAAAAGCTTTAAAAGATGGGTTGCAAGCTAAAAGGTTGTCTTCTGTGTTGAGAAATGCAGCATACTGTAGAGGATAGCTACACAAGAGTTATGCAACAGCTGCTAGAGTGATGTGAAAGAGAAGAAACATTATAAGGAAACTCCCAACAATAACTTACAGCAGATTGCAAACCTCAAAGTGAACAAATGAATTGTGGAAAATGCTGCATCTAAAGAGATAACACGTATGGAATAAACAAAGTCAACCAACAAACCCTGGAAAAACCAAGCTAGCATAGCTGGTGAAACATAACTTAAAGACACAAAATTAACATACAGAGATGAGTTTGCAAGGCAACACAGTTTTAAGAAATGCAATTAAAAAATTACGTCAGATCTATTATATCACAGAGCAGTGAGCTGGTCTCTACTGTGGTTCATCTAGAACACTGCATTCAATTCTAGTGGAAGAAATTTGGAGAAGAAAGTGAGAAAAGGAAAAAGGAAGGAAAAAAGGAGATAAAGCTTTGGAAAGATGAAACTTACCATTTGACTATAGATGCAGTGGAAACTAAGAAACAAAATATACAAGGAAATGTTTGCTGAGAGTGCGTTCTATTAAGGCTCTTAGAATGAGGACAAAGAAAACCACTGCAAGAGTTCAGTGGGTAACACACAACAAATAAGCCCTGTATAGTCTGGTGGGGAATATCTAGCTCCACAGACATGCTCAATAAACAAGATCAAGACAGCAATGTCACTCCCTCTGTGTGGATTTTGACTTCTAGTCATTTTGGGAGGCAGTGAAGCCACAAGATACTTACTTTCCCCTGGGACATCTTGCTGATTATCCTCTGGCTGCTGGGAAACTCCCATTTTTGATAAGATGAGCGTGGCACCATCTCGGACCTTTGAAAATACAAACAGGGATGTTATTCGAAAGAAGTACGCACTACTGAACCTCTTTCGCAACACCTAAACTGTGGTTTCTGTAATCTTTGGCAGGGAATCTGGATCTACGATTAATGCTGCCCTTCAAATGCTTCCTGGGCAACTGGCTCTGCAATTCAGAACAGACTCCCTCCCCCTCCTTTAGTAAGAGATCCCATCAACACCTCCTCTGAGATTACTGAAACTGCTAGAAACTTCTCCAAAACTTCAGTGGCTCCTCAATCTGGTGTGGGTGCCCTTTGTACAAAAATGGGGTTTATCATGAAGCATTGGACCTGTCTATTTTCTGAGGGAAAACTAACTCCGTCTTTCCTAATCAGGACTTCTGTTGTTAGAAAGCAATATATAGCATACAGAGGGAAAATAAGTGGATTGCAAGTGCTTGGTAGAGTGCACAGTACAAAACCTAAACCAGACAGTACAAAAATGTCAACATCTGCTCTCCTGACTGGGCTGTTGAACAAACCAGACCAACCGAAAATCTATTTAGCAGCAGAGCAAGGACAAAGACAATTCTCAGGGGCAGGAAGTGGTAGAGAAAAGAAGAGATGAATATGAGACATAGTAAAAGGAGTTTTTGAATGTTCAAAGGGGAATTCGGATTTGGACACTACAATGATGAGGAAACCTGGCATTTAAGTGATATGTTTTTGGTAAGATGTTTAGCCAATATGTCTAGACCCAGCCTTTCATGCTCCCAAGCTTTTACTACCTAGACCCAGAGCTAGGGTTTGGGTTTTTTTTTTTTTAATTCTTTATGTAGCACAGAAGTTTCTCTTAAAAAAATAAAATTTTATTTATTACTAGAGAACAGTTAAGAGATGTGAACAACTGCTCTGAAACACCTCCTTACATTATAATGCATTAGTGTGTTGATACGTTTCCATCTGCCATCTCTTTGGGATGTTAAATCCAAGTCTGAGAGGATCTGTGCAGTAGAACCTGGACGCCACTCTAAGGGGTAATTAAAATGAGAAAAAACAGTTTTTAATTATGTGCAAAAATAACTACTCTAAGAATGTTTCAGTTTAGAGACCCACTGATGCATTGTCTAATGTTAAAAGAAGTCATTTGGCACAGGCCACGATGTGTGTTTTTTATTGCTTAATAGTTTGGCCTTTATTAGAGAAGCTTGCATGAACTATTCCGAACCGTGCATATGACTTCTGATTATTTTCCACAGGAAGCTAAATTCCTTTGCATAGAATACTACAAACATAAATAATAAGAACAGCTGTCAGTCCAAAATAGAGAAGGACTTTGTACGGAATACAAAAGGCATTTTAAAGGAATTTACAAGGATTTTCTGAAGAGCAAGGATTGCATCTTCTACTTTCAGATTAAGGTAGTAATGCAGATATTGCAAAACTATTAATTGGAGCTTCTATTCTGAGATTATTAGGCCTTTTAAGTTATGTCTTTTTTTTTTTTTTTTTTTTTTTCCTCAAGAAGAGAACACCAATTTGGAAAGCCTTCAAGAAGGATGATTGTCAGAGGCTGGGTGGCTCATCATCTCCTAAAAGTGCAGCTCCTGTAAGTTATAATTCTTTTGAATAACCATCATAAAGGCAAGTCAAAATCAGTAACAGTTTCTGAAATTGCATCATTACTTCTCCATCAGTTAATTGTCCATGCTGTCATTATCACATTAATTAGTAACTGAGACAGTGACTCTGTCAGACATTAATACATTTGTGCTAACAGTCATTAACAGGCTCTTTGCACACTAGTGACAGTACACCAAAACTTTAAAAGTCAGGAAAAAGAATTCTGTAAGAAAGCATTAATTTTTAATCCACATTAAGATTGCTGCAAAACGCTGTACTTTTGCATCCATCTGAACACAAATTAAATTATTTCTTTTTTTAAACCAATGTGTTGCTTTTATTGACATTTCCAGGGGAAACACAAAAACATGTAACATGTCACCTGCTCAATACAGTATCACAAGTAGCTACCTACCAAGAACTACACTCTCAGCTTTTGGCCACTGAGAACACGGCAGATTTCGATAGACTTGGTCTATTATCTTTTCCTTTACTTGTGATATAGTATCACAGTTCAGCACTTTCACAGGTATGGAATCGATTCCTCCATCTTGTACATATACATTTACTGTCTGTAAGAAAAAAAAGAATGTGCATGGTCATTAAGCCAAATCAGTGCTGAACTACCTCTGAATCTGTTTTTCTGGGTGATTTAAATGCAAACAGTATCTAAAATTCACTGTGCAATGATAATTGCACAGCAGCACATATTTGCGATGAGAGTATGGATTATTTGAGGGATCCTTCACTGTTACGCAGGCAACCAGCTATCATAAATTCCAGATAATTCCTCCCACTATGACAAAACAGAAAAGGTACAGAATAGATTTACTTATGTCTAACATGCTACTATTGTTGAGTCTTGGGGATTTATTAAAGAGGGACACACAAGAACAAAGCAGCTGGACTGCTGACTAGTTACATGGTTCTCATACAGCCTGATAACCTCGAACATAGAAAAGCACAGGTAATGCAGTACCCAAACTTCACGGTTTCCCAATAATCATCTGAGCTGCACTTCACTGAACTTGTAGAATACTGTGTGCTTTTGCCTTCCTTTACACTGTTTTCATGGCTGTGGTTTAACTTCTCAAGTTGAGTGGACTAGGTCTGTACATACGGTGATTTAAAACAGCTCAAATGATGAGCAGGAACTTGTTCAGCTCCTGCAACTTTACCTTCTGTGACCAGCTGTTCATTAGAGATATATATATATATAAAATAGATAAAAATATACACATGTGCACACACACATTTATGTATAAAAGCCATTTATATAATCTTTGTGTGTTTGAAGACTTCATTTACTGCTTACTGTTGTCACGGTAACTCCCACAGCTCCAGGAAATATACTTAAGTAGTTTATGCTAGTTCTAAAATATTACTGTTTTCTGATAGTATTGACATAGGTTTTTTAAATTAAAGATAATTTATTGAAATCCTATAATTTGCTAAATCTAGAGTGATTTTTTTAAAAAATAGCTTTGCTATAAAAGTGTCAGTTTTAATACAGACAAAAGCAAATAAGAAAATGATGGCCAGGAAACCTCCCCAGAAGGAAAAAGCCCCATCAAAACCAAATAGATGTTATGGAAAGCCTCTGTCTTTCACTAGCTGAATCAGTACAACAGCTCAGAGCTCTCATGGATCTTTTGCCAGTCAGTTAGCTTTGGAGGCCAGGCACATCCAAAGCATTACAGCTTTCAGATACATATGGTCCTGCCAACCATGATGCCTGAATTTATCATCTCAAATCTCAGAAATAAACTTGCGTGGCTGGTATTTTTAAACAGTGAAGAAAAGCTATGCCATACGGCAGTCAAATTAAACATGATTGCACTGTCCCTTGACACAACTCTCAAACTAATAATGAGATTTCACCTTCCTTTTCCTATTAGCTTTATGGTAATTTGACATGATTTTGCTGCTGGTTCAGTATGCAGCATGTCAGCATAACCAGTGATGCAAAACAGATTCATCTTTTCAATAAGAACAATTAGAGAGCAGACAACTGTTCTATATCATATTTTCCCATCATGTCTCACTTTCAGGCAGAAGTGAACTTTTTATAGCAATAGTAACCCCCTTAATAATCTTTCATCATACGTATATACACACACACACACACACACACATATATCTCATCATCTTCTATGCATGCACACACATAAAATCTTTGTTTGATGGGAAATCCACAAATCTGGACCAAATACTGGTACTGTACCATTTTATAATGTTTAATATGTAGCTAGTATGCTTGTTGTGCCCACATCTGATTGCATACAGAGGTTTTCTGCTTTCACACTGCATTCATTTTGCTTAATTGCATGCATTGACTTTTTTATGAAAAGAAACAGACTGAATAAAGAATTATTGCCATTAAGTCTTACACAGTGTACTGTGCAAGTAAATTTTGTTCTCCATACACAAGAGAAAATAGAACCAGCATTGCCAGTCAGTGTGGTTTCTATGGGTGGCATTTTCAGCTCAGATATGAAGATGACAACTCAAATAATCCCCAAAATATCAACTGAACTTAAAACATTTCTTCTTGCCCAGCACACCCTTTTCCTTCAGGCAGTGTAGGTCACAGTCTAGTGATTCTGTGAGTGAAAGTCCTACAGCAATCTCCTCATATCAGTCCTCCCATCAGCACCCCTTTAGAATATACAAAATGGTGATTTATTTATATATATATATATTTTTTTTTAACCAGGACTTAATAAAGCATTTTATTAAGTTTCTCTTTTCACACTGCAAATATGTCGCTGCATCTTTCGCAGCTGGAGACAACCACAAATGGTTCCTAACATGTCAATAAAAGAGAAATCAGAGAGGGGAAAAAAACCTCCTGTGTTGGTCTCTGAAGGACAGTCTGTGCATCTTTGATATTCATTACCTTGTATCCTGAAGAAAACCAGCAAGACTGTCAGAAAGAGTAAAACCAGAATTTACGCTCCCTAAACAGCTGAAGGTTTAAAGCCTTAAAGAGGCTGCTTCAGGTTTTTAAAAAGACAGTGAACCGGTGTGCTGGAGTCTGGTTGAAAAAGTGGTGGAAATTTGTGTGGGTGAACAGAATGTAAGTCAAAGCAGAATTCAGTACATAAGAGCACTGGACTGTGGCACTGGTGATCAGATTCATGGAGTGGTGGAGCTCAGATGGGGAATACCTGGGCAAGGATGTCTGCTTGAAGCATCTAACACAGGTCTCCAGAACTGCCTGTAGAGGCAGCTTCCCCTCATCACTATAGGGAATTACTTCCCCAGGTGGAAATAAACCCCTTTCAACGCCAGCTGGGCTTGCCCATGTTCAGGGGTGTTTGACTCACACAGGAACAAGTACAGAGGTTCAAAAAGTGTTTTAGAGATTGCAGAGCCATCTCACAGGACTGTAGAGGAGCTCATCCTGGTATACAAATAAAATTATCTCTAAAATGACGTTTGATGTGCTGATGAGCAGGAATCACAAGGGAGAAAGACAACCTGAAGTTCAAGCATAATGTTAGTCCAGTAACTCTGCAAAATCAATTGCCAGTTTATTTAGATGGGAAAAGGGAAGGAGTCAAACCCCCTGACCACTGTTCAGACAGGCTTTGAAAATTATGAAAAGGATTTACTGAAATGGATTCCACAGTGGCAGGACTTGGATTTAAGGCTTAGAAGATACTTTATAATTCTATTTTTCTGCTTGGAGACTTGCTGCTGTCAAACTATTGACAATCCTGCCCGTGATCAGAATTTCTATGCAGATCATAGTAGTTCAGGAAAGTATGTACAGACTTAACACTACAGGACTTAATTTTAAAACAAAAAAATGATTTTATAATATATTAATCATGCTCCACTTACCAGCTGTGTATACTCTACATCATCTCCCAGTAAGCCTGTGTCATTCAGCGTATACTTGGCTTTCTTTAGAACAGCATCCACTGGGCCTTTTTCTACCTGGTGTTTGATAGCCTTGAACAATTTATAAAGGGGTTCCCCAGCATTGTCCTGTTTAGAGGAAAGGAAATTAAATAAAGCAAAGACAAAGGATATACTCAGTACAGCGTGTTTAAGTATTATTGATAAAAAAACCCCACAAGCAACAGACTTCAACTCTTACCTTGAGGTACTGATACAAACAAATAGACATCCAGTTAGACAACATTCTCTCAACAACTGTTTCAGATCTGGAAAAAAAAACCCAACCCGAGTATGGTTAAGGGTACTTAATGACAAAGTTTGAAAGAAAAACATTGCTTGCTTTTTATATGCTTAACTGCATGCACTCTCCTAATGCAATGATTTGCCTGTACAGTCTTGAGAGCATGTACTTGCTTTAGGATAAGTGCTTTGTATTGCTCATCATTCCTGGGTACCTTCAGCTCATTACTGAAAAGCACACATCCTATATGTAAACTCTTAAATTGGGTCTACACGGTAAGAGCTAAAAAATTAACCCATTTGTGCAGTTACTGGGAAACAACCTACAGATTACAAAGCTACAACATCCACCGAGCAAGGTCTATTGTAATTTATTTGGTATAACAACAGGCTTAAAAACACTAGAGCAAGCCCTCATTGAATTCATAATGCAAGCCGATTAGCATGCTCATTACTGAGATGATGTGTGGTATAAACGCTAAATCGTTTGCAATAAAATTAGATTAAAAACTAAATGAAGTGTTTGGCATTGTATTTTGAAGTAAGGTAGATGTTTCAGTAATCTTGATGCAGATTCCACGCTACAGTATTTGAATAAGGAAATCTTTCCAGCAGACTTTCCTGTGCCTTCCACAGCTATGACTGGTGAGCTTGTCTTCCTAATATGCTTGGGCCAGGCTATTTCTGACTTTCACAGATAGTTGGCATTTTAATACAGTCACATTGCAAAATAAACACATTTACAGAAAACCAGAGAACTACAGAAAATATGTCAATCATTCAAACCTTCTTAGCATCAGCTTTGGATTTTTGGCCACAACATACTGCTCCATCAGTTCCAAGAACAGCGTCCTCATGATGTCAGTATAATATTCTAGTTTTCCATGTAAAGCAACTGTCAGTAAAGATGCAAAATACACTTTAGCTCGAGCAGAGAACTCCCTTTGGTTTTCCAGTGTGTGAATAAACTGAAAGAGAAAACAAATGTAAAATCAAGTCAGATTACAGTTTTCTGAAGAACCTCAACATTTGTCTGCACTAAGAAAACAAGCAATATTATTTTAATATTAATCTCCTATGCACAGAATGGACAAGTTTTCAGAAGTTTGGAAAAACTACTTAGAGGAAAATGTTACTTATAAATTGCTTTTAGATACACACACAATGTACTTGACTAACCCAAGGAATGATTACATACTTTAACTGAAGCCTTATCTAAAAAGGATGCTTTAATTAAATGGAAAAAAAAAAAGAAAAAAAAAAGATGTTCTGTGAGAATTTTTTAAAAGAGAAAATCAACTCCCCTCTCCCCCAAATTCCCAGTCCTTTCACATCAAATTACAAAGACACTAATCTAAGTACATCTGGGAACGCGCTCTTGTCTGCCATAAACTATAATGCTACCATTAACTAGCTCAGCACTGGAGCCTCATTTTGAAAAGGAGAAAAAGTTAGAAGCTAAATCTATATTTAGGTGTTTGACAATCAGCCTCAGGTTTTGAGAGTGAGCAATTAGAAGTCTCTTCAGAGCTGCTGTGAGCACTCATCAATCTTGATGAACGGGACACTTGAGGAGCCTCTGCCTCTCTGGGACAGCTATCAAGCAGATGGCTGCCTGCAGGTGACTCCTGTGATGAACCAGGATGGAATCAGCATTCTCTGATCACATTTCTTAAAAGGCTAAAATAAACTTGTAACAGCATGTTTTATGGCAGATTAGGTAGTATTTGTTTTCCTACAGCCATTGCAATGTTGACTAACTCCATACTACATGACCTGGCACAGAAATAACATCTTGCCTCTCCACCCCACCAGGAAGCTCTGGCTGTGATTCTACTGATGTGCAGCAGTTACTGTGGAATCAGAACTGTATGAAAATTACTTATTTTTAATAATTTTGGTTCAGTTGTGCTTGCAAACCTACTATCTTGCATACACAGGTATGCCTACCTAAGAGACAAGGTGAATCTACTTCAGTACTCACATTAATGAGAAATGATTTGGAATTGAGGAGGTTGGAGAACTGGTTCAAAGCCTGCTCCACAGTCTGCCGCCTGGCCTCAGGAATATCCAGCTTCCCTGTAATCATCACGTCTTTCTCTCCGTCTTTGGAGGGCAAGAAGAAGACTCTGTCCGTGTAGGTTTTATAGTCCAGTACTGGAATTCCAGCTTCATTGATATCATTTGTCTGATCCTCCATCTCTATCATTAGATCTGGAATATGCAAGACAGTTTAAAAGTTCATTTTAAAAAAGCTTGCAGCTTTTTTAGGCAACACAATCTCTTTAGGTGCCTTGTAATGGAGAAAAAGCAACTCAACACCAAAAACTCTATTTCATCTCACATTGTCTCTTGCTATTTTTACCAATTATCCTGTTAACTATGACCACAGCTAATTGGTGACATGAGGATAACTGCCCTTAGCACAGATTATTTCCTTGTTGCCGCCTATCCAAAAAAACGACCTTAATGGACATCTGGGTGATATATATGAATGTAGGATTGTAGCACAGAGCCAAAAAAGACACTGCAATATTGGTTGTTTTCTTTTTTAAAAGGTTTAAAGTGTAAAGCATGCTAATTTAATTGTAAGAAAGGGGATGGCAGGAAGGAAGAGGGTTAAATGGTTCATTGAAATTGACAGAAACATTTCTGTGGGACTCAAAAGCTCTGAAGTTCTTAAAAGGGACAAAAATTAGGGAATCATCCTTTGGAGCAGCTATTCTAGCTGAAGGCTTTCCAATTACTCAATATTGCTGATTGACTAGAATATAATATTAATTAATATAGTGACTTATTGTCTCAGCAATTTTATTGCTCTTATTCATTCATTTACCTCTTCAGTTTAAGCATTCAGCAAAGCTGAGGGAGAAAGCATCTTGTGGTTTCCAGCATTGTGGTATTTGTACTTCCTCCCTGATGTCCCTTTCCTTGGCTATCTTTGGTTCCATGTGTTTTAGACTCTCTGCACTTTGTGCTGTTGACATTACAGTTCCATAGTATGGATCCAGAATGTGTTTTGACTTCAGTGTTTCAATTTATCATCAGCCCAAGTGGATGCAGTTTAGGAACTGGATCACCCCTTGGATAGATGTGCATTCTGCTTCCCCAGTGTTTGTGTTTGGTGGAGCAAAGAGGAAACCTCCAACCCAACATGCAGCAGGAGATTCAGCAAGAGAAGGCACCTTCTCCTTTCAGAAACAAGTATGAAGTTCCATGGGAGAGGTGGTGAGAGGGAGGGCTGTTAACCCTGATTGATCCTCTCACAGTTCAAACCAAAGTTTGAAATGAAGCCCCATTTGAGAATAGTTCTTGATTCAAACATTTGCTTCTGGTTGGTGTCCAGAACCCAGAAGGAGTTGGTTTTCCAGAGAAAGCAAGCTGGTACAAGAAAGCCAGAAATGCCAGAAAAACAAGACTGGGAGAGGCTTCCAGCATGGATGAAATCTTTGAGACACCCTGAGCTTCTTAAGTTAATTTCAAACTCTAACCTGAAATTGCTGTTTAATTAAATCCTGCTTTTCAGCCAGTGTCAATATGAAATAATCTATTTCTCTTCAGAAATAAAACGTGGGGGCTTTTTTAGTAGAGATTATTTCAACATGACACAATAGCAAGTATAATTCAGATAATGAGGTGACATTTCATGGTAATCATTTAGGCCAATATTTGCAATGTTTGCACTCAGATGCCTAATTTAAGCACTGCAATGAGTAGTTCGACATACAGAAATGCTGAGCCTTCACACCTCCTGCTGCCTTTCCTGGGATGATGCCTCTACACTTACACAGAACAACTAGTTAGCGCCTCAAATCAAGCTTAATGTTTTCCCATGATAAACAGAGAAAAATGCTGTTTCTTTCCTGTGAGCTTGCCAAATTATCCCTTTGTATGCTGTTTGCTGCAAATAAATTTTGCAGCTCTGAAAACAGTTTTTAATGTGCATATTTGGCACATACAGCCATTGTGCTAAATACTAAGTGCATGGTTAGTCACTATGAAACATTCTTTCCTCTGTATCAATGGCCACTCACACTAATGGCTATAAGTAACCCCAGTCAACTAGTGTCTATTTCCCATTGCTAACTCTGTGCTTCCTTTAGACTAGAAGGATCAATTTCCTTTAATAACTTCAGCTCCCTATTTTATTTTATTTATGACTTTCATATATAATAGCAAAATATCTGCTGTATGTCAATGTTAGTAATCAAGACTACTAAGATCTACTAATTAGTTGTTCCCAGAAGATAGTTTTATCAAGTTTTATCATCATTGCTCCAGCCCATCTTCTGATTGCTCAAGAAGACCCACAGGAGAGCAAATATCTGTCATACCTGTGAACTCCTTCTTGCACCGGTCTCTGACACTCTCCTCCAGTCCTTCAAGTTGTGATTTAATTTTTTCGTACTCTCGTTCTGCTTGTTGGCTCTTGCGTCTTTATGGAATAGAGGTAAGATTTTTAAAAAGTTACAAACTGCAAAAGTAAATAATTTGCAACAGCTCTGAGTGGGAAGCCAAAGGACTGGAGGACATTTTCCTGGTTTTTATTTCTTTTTAAACACTGGCAGCAGAAAGACAATGGAAGAGGAGAACGGCAACAGTGGACCAAGTCTTCATTCTGCGTATATCAATCTGGCACTATCATGGGCCTGCTGCTTCAAAACACACTTGGCACAGCGATTTTAAATCCAATAAGCAGTAGCTACCAATGCTTTCAATCACATTTAAGTACAGAAACTCAATTTGTAGGTACTGAACAAAGATTGCTTGCAACTTGTCCTGTGCTGGCTCTGAGCCACCCAGGAGTGTGCCTGGGACTGAACTGAGAAGGTTGCAGGAGGTCCATGAGAACATCAGTACTGTACAGTACATACTTCAGCTTTGCTTTGGCTATATTCATACACCCCGTAAGAGTGAAATCCACTCCTTCCTGAGGGACACTATGAAGCCCTCATTACTAACCTCAAAACTGGGCTAAGTAGGTCTTAAGTGAAATACTGATATTGTTCTGGCCCTTTGTGAAGCATGAATTTCATCATTAATCATGAAATTTGTGTGTGGGTAACACTTATCTCAGCTGGAAAAGCCAAAATGACCCTTTAGCCAAATCCATCCAGCTCAGATCAACAGTGCTGACTGAGACAGCATAAATGCTGATGGATATGTATACAGAATAAGTTATCTCCTTCATAAGACACATTTTAGCTGCCATTTCAAGAATGTACACGTGCAACTTAGTCTGCAATTGTGCGCTTGACAAGCCTGGGACCAATTGTTGTGCTTATGTATAAAGGACAGACTGGGTTGACTGACAGCAAGGAATTTGGTGTGTGTGAGAGGAATAAATTGGTGCTCATACATATTTCCAGCTGTAACTGTCTTTCTTAGTTCTGCAGCTCATAAAAAAAGATGAAGATGATTTTTGTAGACTGAGCTGAAAACAATCAGGCAGTACCTTGAAAGCTTTAGGAAAGCAAACCCACCCAATTAAAGGAACTTACCTGTAACAGATGATAGAAAAGACGATTATTGCTATCATAGGAATAAGTACCAGTGGCAAAATAAGATTCAGTGGGACGTCACTCACACGTGTATCATATTCCACCCTTCCAAGGATCCATTCCCGGAGTCCAAATTTCACCTAATTAGATAAGAACAGACATATGTTTCAAAAAGTGTAAATGGACAGTGGTTCACTTCTCAGTTGCGCTCTAAATTCTTTGTAAGTCTCACTAAGTGAATTTCCAGCTCAAACTGCCAAACAAAGGAAACATTTCTGAATATTTTATGCTGAATTTAGGTCACCAGCACTTTGTTCTATGAAGTAATTTTGTTTTGCTTAGCAGAGGAAGAAAAATCCCCAGCCTGTCTAGCTACAATTTTACATTCCTATGTAATGAAGGTAGAAGGCATTTGGCAGCTTGGGACCACTCTTCATGTGTGATGTCTTCTTGACAGAAGGCAGAAGCTGGAGGAAGAAAGAACTGCAAGGATTTTCTTCACAGTACTATAATAACTTTGGAGAACAAATTACTTCAATTAAGAAGCACTGTATCAGTGTCACTTACACATGATATTAAATTCTATTGAAAAGGTAACCTACAATAAATTCAGGAAGGTTATTAATGGTATCTCTCTTCTGTCGTTTCTTTGGTTGAGGCTGTACTTCTGGTGGCTCACAATATAAGTCCGTTTCAGTTAGTGTTTTTATGTTGCAAGGTTCATCACCCACAAAAGCCTGGGCCTCATCTATCGTCATGGCTTTGTTCAGGTTACTGCCCTAGACAGAAAATACAAAGCTAAGTCAGCATCACAAAGACTTGGGAGACAAGAAGTCCTGAATCACAACTTTCCATTTGGATCATTTTTAGCAGCAGATGTGATTTGCACTGCAGTGTACAGAAGAGCAGAGTGGTTGGGAATTAGGCAATTCCCCTCCTCTACTTCCTGGTACGAGAAGAGATGTCCCCTGCAGTCCTTGGGAGCTCTATGGCAGAGGGCATTTCCAAATACCAGGCTCAGCAGGAGGGGGCATCCCCAGGAAAGTATGGATAAAAAGATAGGAACTATCTCTGAGAAAGGGAGTGGGGAGGAAAGGGGAGCTGAGAATGTTCATCATCTAGCCCAGGTAAGGGACTACCAAGCATTTTGGGTATGGTACCAAACAGCTGTTAAGGGTTCAAGAAAGGAAGGAAAAATTCCATTCATGTTTCAAGGACAAAATGAGCAACCATCATCTCTCAACAAGTTTACCTTTGCGTTAATAAGCTTGTTGACTTGTTTTTTGATGCCATCTGTGAAGTTTTCAAAGGTTGGGTCTGCAACATAGGCAAAGGAGTGGCTCTCATTTTTTACAACCAAATGATAATGATCCATTAGAATAATAGTGGTAATGTTATAGTTTTCTGGGTCTTCCAGTATTGGTGGGGAAGAAAAAACCACTGTAGTTTCATTGAGTCTTGTAACAAGTTTTCCATCAAACTGTAAAAAACAAGACAAGAACATGCATGTTTTAGAATTCGACTCACTCCTGTACATAATGGTTGATAACTTTAGATTGTAGAAATAAAACCACTGGATTTCTATCCTCTCCACACAGCAGAAATAATATAGTATGAGGTATTTTCCAAAAAGAAAATGAAAAAAAATTGTTAATGGGAATAAATTGTTGATTCATTTCTAGCATCTGCCTGCAGAAAAAGCTCAGGCTACAGATCAGTTTCCATTGCCTCCAAATTCTGTGGCTCTTGACCACACTGGCCTGGTATCATTAAATTGCTGAAAGATTAAGAGGTTAACATAGCAGCTTTAATCCAGATCATCTTCTGTATCATTAAGTGACTAAGGCAGATTACACTGTAAAATACCTCAATGAAATTCAATACAATTACTAAGTGAAATTTTGGAATAAAATTTACTAATTGTCAATCAACTATGCAAAGTAACAACTCAGTTAACCTGTCCTCCATCCCCAATAATACAAATGTTTTTATCCTAGAAACTCCTTCAGTCATTCTGTAACATCAGCCACAGCCAACAATACTAACAAGAATCCTCAACATTTCTTCTATCACAACCTCAGTTTCTCACTTTGAGAAATACCATTTGACAGCTTCTTCTCCACATTTCTGATATTGCCATATAAGTGGAAGCAAAACACAAGATTAGAAAAGTTTCTAGTCTTAACCAAGAATGTGTGCTGTATTTAATGCCGACTTAAGCTAATGTGCTGAGAAGATGCTGAGCAAACATAAGAAGGGAGGTAAGAAATGTTGATAAACACTGTCAAGAATGCTGAATAGACTTTAAGATTGTCCTGGGAGTTAAGGTTATCAAGATAATTACATCTTCCAATTTATAGCCTAAGAAACGTAAGCAGTTTTCCTCTTAAAATTTTTTAAGGATAGGGTTATGATGGACTCAAATCCAGCTGGCTTTGGCATACTCTGAAAGTTGAATCATGCATATAATAAAAACATGCACATTACCAACTCTACATGGATCACAAGACAGTCTTAAATTGAAGAGCCAGCCTTAGAAAAAGCCTTACAATGTTCTTACTGGAAGATCACTTTTAAGTCCTCAATCATTTAATTAAGTTGTGATCTTCATTAAAATTTAGAGTGGGAAACTGAGACTATCAGTAATGTCAGTTCTTCTTAACATGAGATGCAAGGGGTTTTTTAACGTTATTTTTCACAACTTTTTGTGAACATGCTATAGGTGGAATATGCATGAAGCAAGCAAGAAAAGAAGACTCGGTTCATTGAGGTGTGAGAAAATAAAAGGCACTGACTGTGCAAAGCTGAGTACTCAGCATTGTCTGGATTCAGGTCCTGTTTCAGGCAAATCTCTAAAGTTTGCAGGGGGAGAAGAAGGAGAAAGATAAAGAAAAAATAAACACTTTCAAATTCTGAAACACACCCACTTTACCACTTGAAGCTTAATTCTTCCATCCTTATTCGTACTGAATGAAAATAATTTTAAAGCAAAAGATTGCAAAGTACAAATGCATGTAAGTCAAGATGGTAGGAGTAGGTTCTTCTTTCACAGAAACCCTGAACAGACCCAGAAATCTGTTCAAATCATATTCCATTCCAAGCCCAGTGAAGTCCAGTAGGCAAACTTAAAAGCATTTTTTGAACAGATTATATGTTATGCATCCAGTGTGATTCCTTTGGGGGAAAAGAAAGAAAATTACCCTTTTAAGATTTGTTCTCCCTGCTTCTGGACGCTCTGCATATACCACCAACGAGAAACTCTGGATGAGCTCAAAACCGGTTCCAGTTACTGTAATATTTCTCCCTCCACTGAAAGGCAGAATTAAAAAAGAAGTCAAGCCATTGGCAAACTACCACAGCTATAGAATGTTTTATCCTGCACTGCTACTACTTCCACTGAAAACAGCTATATAATACCAATATGACAATTAGATATCCTACAAAAGGGACTTCTGTTAAAGCTATCAATGACCATAGCATTTAAAAGCAGCAATGTCAACTTCAAACTCATTTTAAAACAGCAGAATAAAAAAGTACAAATTGCTTTGTCAGTATTTGTGGCTTTTCATTGATGCCTTTCTGTGCTTTACTTCTCCAATGGTTTTGTTAAAATCACTCCACCTACCACATGCACAGAGACAAAGGTGAGAGTGTATTTTCTATGGGTCTGTAGGGACTTGGCTTCTCTATTCCCTTTCCTTTGCAACACGTTGTTTAAAAAATAATGCATTCGCATAAGAAGAAGAATGCATGCAAGTTGCCAGGGGGAATTTAAGTCATTGAAGTAACATAGATTTAGAGGGACAGCAATCCTCAAAGCAATCCATTAAAGTAAGCTTCAGTTTATACAGAGGAAAAAAAAAAGTCTTTTATATCCCCTAGGGTAAATCACTACTGATCTACCAGAAAAATCCTCCAGGCCCCAAAACCACCCAAACCAAAAATCAAAATCAGATATTAAAAACAAATGCTATTTTACATAAGTGACCACTTAATATTCAAGGAAGCAGGTAACAATTTCTCCAAGAGAAGCCACGGCCAATTTTATTTTAATGTCCTATTTGTAAGGTCATGATTTTACACTTCTTTTTACTGAAAGAAAGTGGAAACAACATGATCTCTCTCTGCCAACTGTACCTCTCTAAGCAGAAAGACCAGAATATTAGGGAACAGCAGACACTAACTTGAATCAAGGTCACAAGTTTGTCCCTGTATCAGTCACAGAATGACTTTCAAAACCAGAGGTATACTACAAGGACTTTTATACAGATGATTTGCCATATTGCTACAAATATAAGAGTGGCATGTATTTCTTTGTTTTCACAACTAGTACTAGGTGATCTTTTTCCCAGAAGGAACAGCTATCAGATGTGGTGTTAGTGAGTACCACCATAAAGAGAGCATACCTTTTAAAAGCATTCTTGAACCCTGATCTAGATTTCCTAAAATGATACGTTTTTTCCTCATGAGACAAAGAGGTGAGAAGCCATAACTTTCCTCTGTTTCCAGCATACTTATTAAAAGCTGAATGGAAGAACTGTTAGAAAGCTTTTCATTAGAAACCTTTTATATAGGTTATCCTTATAGGATAACAATTTGCAAGTAACACAAAGATCATGTTGTCTGACATCATGCTGAAATGCTCCAAATCTCTTTCTTTGAGACATTTTAATTTAAAAGGAACTCATTATCTCTTCTGGTTCCAAGATTTATGTTTGAAGTTGGGATCAAAGTTTGGAGGTAAACGGAATACTTTCAAACATCAGCTGCAGTTAAGAAAGATCACAAACACTGTGTATCTAAATGTATGCATGGCTAGAGTAAAGGAGTTTTTATTTCAAACAGTTCCATATGTATATAGGTTTATTATGTATTACACATATTTTAACCCAATTCTAAATGAAGTTATGACAAACATGTCGTTACCTGCTGAAGCTATTTACTGGCAGGAACTTGGTGACAGTAGGATTTTCACTGTATGAAAACAGCTGTGGTACACTAACTGTTGTGCCCCCATAGTCCATTGTGACTGGAACATCTTCAACCTTGCTATTAGGTCCTGTGATGCAAACAATCTCATCTCCAAATTCAGTGCTAGATTGGAGAAGAAAAAGAAGAGGAAACATCTTCAGTTACAAACATTATGGTGATTTGTATTCTTTACTGTAGTACCTCAGAAGCAAGAAAAACAGGGCTCTATTTTTGCTAGGCACTGAGTATTTACGAGAGGAGACAACACTTTCTTCAGATCACTTAGAGTCTTTAAAAAAATGTAGGATATGAAAAGGAATAGTGTACAAACACAAGAACAATGCAATGTCAGCACACTTCATGTCATCCCTTTTTTGGGGGAAGAGAAAGGCAGCAATTAATAAAAGGAAAAAGAAATGAGAGAAACAAGCCAAGGGGCACTGGAAGATTAAAATTTTATATGGAACCACTGAGGAGATGCTGAGTGAATGATGATGGGTGGGTTTGGAATAGCCAGTCAAGCCAAGAAAGCCAAAACTGGAAAAATCTTTGGATAGCTGAGTTCTCCCACTTTGGTTGTTTTTACAGCTGCTTCTTCCAGATGGAGCCTTTGAGTGAGTTTCTGTGTGAACATAACGTGCAGAGCTCCATTGCATGGGATGAGTCACAAAGAGATAGACAATGGATTTGTTTAATTTCCAGAGGCCCGAAAAGGTCGGTGCTTTGTTAGGGTACAACTCTGTATTGTTAGTTACTCAGGGTACGTACACATTGCAAGGCTGGCTACCAACTGAAACTTGAACATCCTTCTTGGAACCAGTGGCCAGGTTTGTACCAGTGATGGTAAGTGTGGTTCCACCCGCTTGTGGACCACTTTCAGGTCTTATTTGAGAAGGATGAGGTTCCTGCAAAGAGGAAATGATCAAACTAATTAAGAAAATTAAAATAAAATTTACACCAGTATTCACTGGTATAATAGCTAATAGAAGTTTAACATTACTACCTGAAAAACAGTACAATTAAAATAATGACGGACAATTCTTTTAAAATAACACATAACCTTTCATTATTCATGCTCAAGGAAGAAGTGACAGATGATGTGAATGTACTTATATTTTTTCCATACTGTATTTTTTGATGCTTTATATGAATTTCAACTCCCTATTTACAAAATGTAGAATTAGCTGCCATTAAGTTTATGAGAGCTTCCTGTTGGATTTGCTGTTTTCATACTTGTTTTAAGATTTCTCTCTTCCTTATGGCTGAGTCTGCTTTCACCTGTCCTTACCCTTTCCTACATTCTGCGTCAGCTACAGGAGAGACAGAGCAAGCTTTTCAAAACTTGAACAGAAAGAATATTAAGATTTCCTTTATCTTGTAAGGCTGCTAATTGCAGTAAAATTCTTATCCTATTCTTAAGCAATGAGCTTGCAAAGAAAGAGAATCAGAAAAAAACCTAAACTCTTCTTTATGCACCTAGAACCTTGGAGCAGATTTCTGAAAACTGTTACGAAATTTGCTAGATATTTAAATTTCTCAAATAAGTTCCCTCCTTTTGTTCTCAATTCAGTCCTTGTTTCCATGATTGTATTCCGGGAGCTATGACAAATACTGTAAATTAACAGTGAGGGCTTTTCACGAACACAGTGATTTAATTACTTCATCCCTAAGTAGTCCCTGCTTCCAGCTGAGAAAAGCATCCTTATTCAGGGCAACAGTGAAGCTGCTGAATCAAGAGGATGACCGACACTGTGCAAGCTGCAGGAGATGGGCTACCAGCCGGCTCCAGGCGAGCAGGGCCTGCTGACCCCACGGCCTGGCCGTGCCTGCAGCCACGCCACCGCCCTCGCCGGGGCGGCAGCCGCCCCCACGCAGCCAGCGGCCACATGCGCCGTGCACTGATGGGCTGCCGGGTCTGGGCACGTGGCAGCGGCGTTGCTACGATGGACCTGCATCTGCTAGAGCATATCCGATCAGCGGCTTAAGGAGGCCTTTTCTGATGGGTAACTGTGCTTCTTCATCCATATTCAAACACAAGCTTTCCTTAAATGAGTCAAATAGGCAATAAGCTTGTTTTCCAGTCTCATATGTATTTGAAATGACATCTGCTCTCCTCCTCCTCTTGCATAATCTCGCTAAATTGGTTGGCTGATAATAAAGTCCAGGCTTGGGGCTATTCTGGATGAAGCATATGCAAATAAAGGAAAGGCAAAGAAGTTTTAAAACTTCCCTTGCTGCTGAGGGTTTCCCTGATCACAATCACATTGCACTGATCTCCCACTCTAAGGAGGAGAAGCCCTGCTCAGAAACAGAGAGCAACGAGACCACACCTTACTAGTCATGCAGCAAAAACCTTTTGCCAGCGTCATTTCCCTCAGGCACAGGCTGCCCTCTCTGTGTCAGCTTACAGCTACAAAACCAAGGGCCCATGAAGGGCAGGGAGGAGGGGGACTGACGTACCGCAGTTCGGTTCA